ATGATAATGCATATCCGTGCTTATCTTCTTGAATATGGAAATATTCTTTATGGGGCAGAGAAACTGTTGAAAAGGATTCTCATTAAGTTACTTTTAGGAGTGAATTTTTGAACTGTTACCTGTTTTATCACAGGTATCAGACAAGATGTGAATCTTTTTGGAACTGAATGTTAGTCACCGTTTCAGGCATTATCTAGGATGTTTTAAGCTACTAATTGGATTTTTTTTTTTTTTTTTCTGAAGTACTCAGCAAAGCTTTTTATTTTAAAAGCATCAGATGTAGGCTGTAATTGCCTGAGAGAATGTGGGGCAAAATGCATCATTATACTTTGTAGAGCAAACGAAGGCAATAACAGAGCCTTTATGTTAGAAATAGTTGCTATAGGAAAAAATATCCAGGAGGAATTAACTCACCCCTCCCTGTAACAGTTCGGAGAAATGGATGAGCTGAGGAATGCGGCCTCCCCCATTCGTACCATCGTGCTGCAGAGAAGGGTGGGGGGAAAGGGGGCCTGCGCAGACCCAGATGGCACAGGAAGTGTGGAGACAGAAGGGGTGGCTCTGAACTCCCCCCCCACCCGCTCCGGGCACTCACGTACTCACTTAGCTCATCCATTGGTTCAGGCTTTGACCTTGGAATTGCACTACATGCTTCTTATACTGTACTTCTAGCAGTAAAAGCTAGAGAAGATCCTTTTCTGCATTATCTTAAGTAGATTTTTTATGAACAAAATATACTTACCTGCTTGTCTCTTCTCAAAACTTTGGAAACACTTATCTAGGTGAAAATAGCATATAACCTGAGTAGTTTTCTTTTTTCTCTACCAAATTCTGGAACTGAATCCGTATAAAGAAGTCTATGCCAGATACCCTCAGACAGAAGTTGCACTGCCATACTTGAAGAGTTAACTTCTTTTTTTGTGCTTTTTCCACAAATAATCTAATTAGTCAAGTGGTTTGTCATCCTTTTTTCCTGCTCTTTGTTATTTTCCTGTAGTTTCCTGTGTTTATTAGTTCTTTCCTTCTGTTCTGGCAGTTTCTTCTTCCTATGATATGAATATCAAAAAAGCTGGATAAGTCAAGATGAATATCGAAGTATGAAGTATCATTTCTACTTTCTCTTCAAGCTGCATGCTGCTGCAGACTAGTGAGAAATCAGATTTCAAGTCTTTTTCTTCGTAATTTTCATCCCTATGTTTTGCATTGTCTCAAGGCTGTAGTCACCCTGAACATTTATTTGGAGTTTAGGTGCACCCTATATCATGTGTGGTACATAGGGTTCATCCCATTAGATTCTGTGTGATTCAGGTAATTGACCCAGAAGTGCATCAACTCCTGTCTTTTCTTACAGGATGAGCCTAAGCTTTCCATCACTAGCACTAGCTTTGTTGGTTTAAATAGAAATACTTTTGGATGCCCTGTGAAGCAGGAGGCATTGAAAATGCCAGCCAGAACATTTCTTGCACTGGGAAAATGCAGTACAGCTGTTAATACTGTTACTCTTTTAGGATGAGGGGCAAGAAAGGTTTATACCTCTCTTTTGGCTTTTTTTCAGATTAAGCATTAATTTGTTCAGGTTTTAGCCCCCACCCTGGAAGTACTAGGTTTGTAATGTTACAGACTTCCTACTGCTTGGTTTTATTCTCCAGAGGAAGAACTACAGATTACTGACAGGTGTCTGTGCTGTAGGATCAAAAGATAAGAAAGAAGGTAGGTGATGATGAAAGAAAATCTCACTTGTGGGCAATGCACATTGCTGAGCATCACTGTAAGAATATTAGACACAACTCATCATGGAATGGAGTCCTCTGTGAAAATGAAATATATTGAATTTTGAATGCTGTGTTCAGTAGGGTAATTAAAAATAATATAGCCATACTCCTTTTTTAGGAAATTCTGAGGTAACATGGATAAGGTTCTCAGCTGTACTTTTCAGAATGTCTCTAAGAGATGTTTATGACTTTTTAACGCTGCCTAGATCTTTGGAAGTTAGAGATACTTCTGATGTAATTTTGCAGCAAGGAGCCTATCCAAGCTACAGGATCTTCCAGTAGGCTGTAGAGCATCTGTAGTAGGCTATAGATTCATCTTGTGCCTTTTCAATATGTGCACTGTATCAAAACCACCTCTGATATCATCCTTATCTCCAGTCCTATCAAATGCTCTTGTTCCTGAGTTTCCTCACCAGTTATATATATGTGATAACTAGAACAACTACCTTTCACACAGTATTTTTCTAGTCATAGATGAAGAATGCTGGTTAGGAGCTAAGCACCAGTAAGTGTTAGACCAGACAGATTGAAGGGTATGGATCTTGTAGGCTTCATGCTTACTGAGTCTATGCATGCATACCTCAGTCTGAGGTGATCAGAGAATGTGAGAAGGGCTTAAAAAATAAAAAAGCAGAACCTGTCACTGGAAGCTATAGATAGCAGTTCTAACAAATGTTTTAAAGACTGACCTAGATGGTGAGCAAATGAAGTCAGAAAGTTTCTTAAATATATGTTGTAATTTGCTTACGTTGGGGTTTCTGTGTTCTAGCAATATCCAGTTTACAGCAGTATATTTTCAGAGACATGTAGCATTATGTAAGTCTTGTTCATTGTGGTACCTTCAGTGGAACTTTGCATATGTGTATCTTTGCTTAGATCTAGCAAGAATTCCTGTCCTGCACAACCTCAGTGGATATTCTCTTTTACCCCTGCTGCTTGAAAAGGTGGAGGATGAAGTGTCACACAGAGGGCCTCGGCCCTCGTGGGTACTGAGTGAGTTCCATGGCTGCAATGTGAATGCTTCCACATACATGCTTCGAATTGATCAGTGGAAGTATATCACGTACATGGATGGCGTTTCGGTGCCTCCACAGCTGTTTGGTATGTTACAATTCTTGTGTCCTAACTGATCAGTTAATTTATTTAAATGCAAGTTGACCCTCAGCTGCCTTTATTGTTTGTTCCAGACCTTTCTGCCGATCCGGATGAGCTGACAAATGTTGCCATAAAATTCCCAGAAACTGTACAGTCCTTGGACAAAATGCTTCGCTCAGTAGTGAACTATCCAAGGGTTTCTTCATCTGTTCAGAACTATAACAAGAGGCAGTTTATCAGCTGGAAACAAAGTTTGGGCCAGAATTACTCAAACGTTATTGCCAACCTTAGATGGCATCAAGACTGGTCAAAGGAACCAAAAAAATATGAGGATGCAATTGATAGGTGGCTCAGCCAAAGGGAACAAATAAACTAAATATATTAATAAAATGAAAATGTCACAGATCTAATATGATTGAGGAGATGGAAACATTCTGCATTTGTAATTTTCTGTTGTATTTCAATTGTTAGAATTGTTATCTTACATAAGCTATTTAAAGCAAAGATAGTCCTGAAGAATTACTGCATTGTGCTAGAAATCCCAAAGTGGTTTATATAACCAGCAAGTGTAACAAATCTAGATTTTATATGATAAAAGTCTCTAGCATGTAAGAATGCATAGGAAGAATGTTATGTAAGTTTTAATTACTTTTATGGTACATACAGCTGGTTGCCAAAATGCAGAGTATTAAGTGTTAAAACTTAACAGGAATTTGCATTTTTAATGATATGTTAAAGGAAGAATTATTTTTTATGGTGGGATACCTGTTATACTGGTGTATGCCAGAGCCAACTTTGCACCAAGGCAGATTGTCCGTAAAATATACATCCACTTCAGAGATGATGCAGGGGTTAGAATTTCATCAGAAAGATAGCATCTAGTGGTCTTAACATTAATGCACTTTATTCAGTATTTCATCATTCCATTTTTGTTCATTGAGTCTTCATTTTTGAAGATAGGCCTTCTTATCTTTGTCTTTTGGATCTGGACTTATCATGCATCATTCTTCAAAAGAGTTGCATAATACTACTCAGGTGCTCTTAGTAGTATTACAAGTACCTCTGGTGACTCAAAGGCCATGCATTATGTATGTTTGCAATGAAGAGAAATTGGTCTTTGTTCACTGTTGGAAATTAGAGGGGAAAAAAAAAAACAAAAACCCAACAAAGACAAAAATAAATTCCTCAGACAAAACTTGTGATTAGAGCTGTTTTCTGAAAAGTAATAATGAGATTTTGCACAGCATTAAGTTGAAAAGTGACTGAGTGGATCTCTATTGCGCAGTTAAATTCTGCGGGTAGATGTTCTAACGTGCAAAGCTGGAACATAAGATATACACAGAGAAGATGCAGTTGAAGCTTGCAAAGAAAAAAAACAGAACCATTTCTCATTTGCCCAGGGATGTGACTGAATAAATAAATGAATAAACACCAAAGCAGTTTTGGAAGAAGGTAAGATTTAACTGGTAAGTTGACTTTTCCTAAGTGAAAAATGCTTGCAGCAAGCAAGTACACTTGCTTATTTTTGGACACTGTTGGTGCTGCTACAGTAGAAATTCAGCATGACATTGTAACGCCAGAATGCTGCCTGGAATTTTAGTGAAGTACTCAGCAATAATGGTAAGCTGGAAAAATATAAAGATGAAAAATACGTGTATCTTCTGATAGCTAAGCACCCTACCTGCATTTTGTAAACAACTTACCACGCTATAATTAGCTGCATATATTCATGAATATATTACCTTTTTAATTGTTATTGTTCATAAAACATTAAGGATAATCTTATACTACTTATTCATTTGGCATGCCATTGTAATTTCTGCTAAGATGAGCTCAGGTCATGATGAAATCATTTCAACAAAAAGTACAACGATGTAGTATGTGTTGGCTGCATAAATAGAGGGGAGGGAAGTCCATATGAAGGCACATTCAACAGGGAAGGTAGTAAATTGATATCTTTACAGAGTTCTGGGCAGGTTGGATCTCACCGTAGAGAATACAGGAAAATAAAAATTTAGTGAAGTGGTTTTGTGTGTGTGTGTGTGATTTTTAAATTATGTTATGTTATGTTTAAATATATCACTATGGAAAACTGTGTTCTGTCAATTCTGTGAACATGGTGCTGTATTGGTTCTAGGTAATGTGCTCTGGGTGAGACTGCTTGAGCAGGAGTTGGACCAAATGAACCCAGAGGTGCTTCCAACCTCAGTCCGGAATTCTGTGACACACTGCTACTTATTTTTGCACCTGCCTTCTTAAAATGCTTATAAAGTGAAAACATTAATTTATTTATTAAAAGCAAAAACTTGAATTTCCACAAGGCTTTAGCCAGAAAGAAGGAAAAACAAAACAAAACCCTTAAGACTTCATTGCCTCAATTTACATTAAACAATTTACTTTTCTCGGTAACTGAACTAAAACTGAACCTGAAATATTTAGCAACATTGTCATATTCAGCTAAGCCATCTTAGTTATGCTAGTATATCTGCATAGTTAATTCAAGTTTGCAGCGCAGCAGCTTGGCTCTCAATCTAGGAGAATAATCTTTGTCAATCCCTCTAAACAATATATGTGACACAAGAGGATAAATGCATGGGAGATTACAGTGATGAGATGACTTGTGTAATATCAGTAATGGATAATATAAATAATAACATGCAGCATCAGTAGTAAAATGTAATGCAGGTATGAGATATAACAAATTGAAATCAACTGGGGAATGAAAAGGAGAAAGGAAAGGCTGGAATACTGATATGGTTAAGCACATTTTTAGACAAAGTCAAGACAACAGAGCATTCCATAATTTAACCAGTTGGCCTGATTATGTTCTTTGCATTTATTGTCTTCAAGAACTTAATCACAACAGCAAAACCAAACAAAATCAAAAACCAGGATAAAATGGGTGATGTACAAATGTCCTGGACAATATAAAAAGTGAATTATTTTTTCTAACTGCAGGTTCTTAGAGCTGGGAATCTACCTTTGTCAGGATGTCTTACCTGATCAGCGAGGAAAAAAAAGTCAATGAATAAATCCAGGTTTTGCACTGAAGTAGGAAACTACATTTTTAAAAAATTACTTATCCCCTCTCCCCCAAAAAAGTATGGAAATAGAGTCTATATGAAATTACTGTAAGTTAGAGTTACAGAATGTTTATGTTGGAATGAAGCATAATGCCCACCCAGACCCAAACCCGTGTGGGCTGTGAGCTGCCCCGCACCAGCTCAGGCTGTGCTGGGCCCCATCCAACTTGGCCCTGAGTGCCTCCAGGGCTTCTTTGGGCCGCTAAATCTCTCCTCTTTTCATTTAAAAGCATTCGCCTTTGTCCTCTCACTAGGTGTACAAATGACTAAAAGCAATCTTGGCTGTAGATACCAAAATTTTTAAAGCGAAAAAGCTGATTATACAAGGCTTGCAAGAATTTGACGTAGCACTGTTTTGCATTTTTATAAGGATTTTGAATGCAAAAGAAGATTGGCCATAGTAAGTGTCATCTTGCCCTAAATGAAGAGATGTTGACCAAAAGTTACTTTGATGCTTTATACAGCCGTCCTTTTCTGCCTGCTGGGTGGTGACTTAGGCTTCATCTTTCTTTTTTGTGAGTAAAGTTAAATCCCAATTATATAGCACACTAAAAGCTTTGCCAACATTTACAAATCTTTACCATCAAGACAAATTAATAGTTGACGTGAGTTACTCCAGTGGTGTTCTGTAAAAATGCCACACAAAGGCCCTGTTTTCAGAACAATGTATTTTTGTAAGAAAAGCCACATTAAGCCTAACTTTGTAGGAAATTCAGTTTTAGATGCTGTAGTTACCTGTCCTATCTGGTGCCTTAACTCTGGCACTACACATGCATCTACCATTTTTGATTCAAGTCAGGATACTCATAGAAAAGAGGGAAGCACAGGAAAAAAAACTTGTTCAAGATCTTTAGACAACCATGTGTGAGTCAGAGACAAAGCATGCAAATAATGAGCCCCAAATCCCTTGTCACTGAACTAGAGCTGATTTGTGACCTAGAAGGGCCACAAGGAAAAGTCCTGCTGAAGATTCAGCACCTCTTGCCCTGACCTAACCTTCTTCCTTTCCCCATCTTGGTCATGTTACTGACACCTTAAACATGTGCACATTGCAGCAGACCAAGAGCTAAAAAAGTCCTGTTTGGCAGGCAGTGACACACCAGTAGAAGGGTGTCTGGGATTTCTTTCTGATTACAGGAGTAATGGCTGAAGGGAAATGAAAAGCAAGTATAAACAGGGGTGGGAAAAAGAGATGAATATCAAGAAGCTTTTGGTGAGCCTACACTGTGCAATGACCTGAGCTGTTCTGTACCCCCATTTCTGCACCCTGAGGGCACCCTGAAGGCAGCTCCTGCAGGATGGTCTATCCCAGAAGGTGAATTCAGAGCCTTTTCTGGGAAAGGTAGGATATATGGAGAGTAACCATTTTTTTAGACAGAGATTTTTCTCTCACAGCCAGAGACAAGGGTCTCACAGAGGCCACTAACAGAAGCAGCACAACACTCCCAAAGTCCCAGTGCCGGGCTGGGTGCCTGCTGGGAGCTGTAGGCAGCCCACCGGTCTCCCAGCACAGCAGCTGGTTGGAAGCAGAGCTGCCCCAGCAGGGTGAGCACAGCAAGCAGTACGTGACTTCAGGCAGGGCTTCGTGTGGTTTGTCCCACAGGAAAAGTGCTGCTTACAGGGAGAAAAGCAGCAAGAGGAACTCTGCACTCCGATCTCCTGTTATCAGGGCAGAGCAGCTCGGCCCTACTGCTTATCAGCCGTGTCAGACCTCGCTTCGGCCATGCTGAGCCTCTGTACAGCCTGTCCCTGTGTGCTACAGGGGCCAGAGCCACAGCTGATGGCTTTATGTGAGGAAGCGCTTTGATAAATGCTGTCACACATGTGAACAAAGCAGCACTAGTTGTCATAGGAGCACTGAAGAGAGCCAATGTTGGACCTCATTATTCTGAGCGTTCATTTCTTCACCTGCTTTCTCATCTCTGTTTTGATCTGGTGGGGATCTAAGGTACTGTGTGACTTGCTGTGTGGCGGATAAGTGGCACTGCTCTTTGTAGCTCTTAACCCTCTTTGCAACTGGATTCCACGGGTATGTGGTTCCTCTTTGTTCTCAACATGCACAAAGACTTTTTTTTAGCCTGATCTTCTGAGGAAGTGAGGGTATCAGGGTTGCACTAGGACTTTGACTGCAACACAGCAGCTAATTGTAAGTGAAATTAGTAGGAGGATAGGCTTCATGGCGAAAGGGGAGGCATGCATATATCCTCTGCTAAGAGAGGCTTTCTGATGCTTGAAATACATAACGTGATGAAGGCAAAGGCAGAACACAGCTGCTGAAAGCCCAGGATTAGTACATCTTCCCAAACAAAGATTTATTTCCTTTATTATATGATGTTTTTCCTTTATTATCAGCTTCTATAGGCTTGTATTTCTATCCATAGTACTGTGTCAAGTCCCCCAACATCATTTATCCTTTGCATTGCTGAATAGTTTAGTGCTTCATATTTAGTATCACTGGATTTATTAAAATGCAGAATGAATAGGCTCGACTTGGAATTAATTTTATCTCAGCCTCAGGTATCAGGTTTGCAGCAGTTGGTATTTCCAGTTCCACTTCTGTTAGTGAACGTTATCACCAGACTCCTGGGCTTTGCTTTATGTGCATACTGATAATATTGTACTAATATTGTACTAAAACCTCTGTCCTGCTCATCATATATGCTAAGTGAGCTGTGCTTTTCCCTGGAACAGGGGCACACAGTTTCCATGTAGAAATCCAAACAAGAACTGTTTTATGAGGTCGTTTTTTGTGTTTGTTTGTTTCTTTTCTGTGTGTGTCTGTGTGTGTTTTAAGGGCATGGTTTTGCACAGCCCAAGCAAAGGAACAGCTGAAACGGAGCCAGATGATCTTGTATTAGTTGGAAAAGAAGATGATATAAAAAAGTCCCAAAGAATAACAGCCAAAGTCAACGGCAGAGAAGTTGTTGTTTTCTACCATGAAGGGAGATTTTATGCTCTGGACTCTCGCTGTTACCGTAAGATATTTGCATACACAACATCAGTGTTTTAACAATTAAGCATATAGTTTGCTGCATAAATTAATATCATATTCTACTATGTTTCAGATGAAGGTGGCCCTTTATATCTTGGAGAAATAGAGGTATGTAAGCAAAATAAAAAAAGTTTATGTGCATAGAGACTTTTGGAATCTCTGGTGCAATTTCTTCAAATAATTTTGTCAAAACAGAACATAAGAAATGGGTTTATAGTTAAAATAATGCTTCCTGTCGTGCTTTTTTCATGTTTATTTGTCACAGAAGACTGAAATGTTGAGATGAGGAGTGAAAATCTGATTCTTATTGTTGTGTGGATACGTTCCATGATGATAGAATATTATGATTAGTTACTGTATTACAAAAAGTGTAATTAAAACTTGGTGTTATTCACCAAGTTGAGCAGTGGGCTCCAGCACCAAATGGATCATGGTTCAGTTGTTTACTGCTGTAATAAGGTACTCTTAGGAGTAAAAATTTGTATTCTACCAGAGTAGAAAGCTTTGCAGCTGAATCACCAGATATACTTAAGATGGGAATTTCTACAAGGAAAAGAATTAGAAGCTGGTGACTTGCTTTTCCTTTTCTTCTTTGTTTTTGAAGGACATTGATGGTCAGACATGTATTATCTGTCCTTGGCATAAGTATACAATCACACTGGAAACAGGAGAAGGATTATATCAAGGAATAAACCCTTTGGAGCCATCGCCAACACCACGGTGGCAATCAAAAGGAGTAAAACAAAGAATTCATAAAGTTACAGTGAAGAACAGGAATGTTTATGTGAGTCCTCCAGATATGTCTGTAAGTTTTGACTCTGATTATTTTGCTGAGAAATACAAAAATGGTGGTGATTTAGCTATGAAAAAATAAAGCAACTCAGAAGCAGAGGAGCAAGTTTTGGATAGAAAACAGAATCTTGCTGAATGTCTCTATACAGAAATGAAAATATAACACGGCTGTCAAGATTGTTAATTGTTTAGATTAAATTCTAATGTTAATATAATGAACTCAGGGTTGTAGAAATCATAAGATAAGAAGATCTGCGAAGCTGGGGATATGACTGAGCCTGTGCCAGTGGTTTTTTGTTTTTACTCTGAATTTCAAAGACACTTATTTGCAGCAGAACTCCTAATATTTTTAAATCCTCTTTTGTTAGAATTATTTTAAGTTTCAGGATGAAATGTCATATATTACTACATACTAAATATTTATTAGTTCAAGATAAATAGTCTAGTATAAAGGTTATGTTCATATATGCAACAGTTTGTACTTAGTGCCTTCTGTTTAACTGATGTAGAATAACTTTGTAGATATATGAGAAATTTCTGCATTTTTTTGTAAATCTGAAAGGCCAGATTTTCACAAGGAGAAGTGCAAAATTTAAGCAAATTTTCATATTCATTTTTATGCCTATTTCTGTGTTGCTACAAAAATTTTATGAAAGCATTTATTTGTCTTCTCTTTATTGAACTCTTCATCAAATAATTAGATATATATTTGTCATGTGTAAATTGTTCTTCCTGATTCTATTGTTGAATAAGAAAGAAACTGTTCAGTAAAAAAAGTGATACGTAAGATCATGGTTCTTGTTTGTTTTTATGTTTTCAAATACATTGTTATATATTCACTTCAAAAAGTAAGCTTCCAATTTAGCATCAAAAGTTAGGTTTCCATATTTGAGTTCCCTGCATAACATCAGATCTGCACTGATAACTCTGCTCCCAGAACAGGGAAGCTTTCCCTCTGTGTTGTGTTGTGTGAAGGGCAGTCTGTGCCCTGCGATGGTGAAATTTTCCTGCCCAACCCACAGTTTTTAGAGAGCTGAAAACACTGCATGAAAGTTAGCATCATCCTGAGACTCCTGAGTTCTCCAGCAATGTTCATCTGGAAATGTGACTGCAGCCTGGCTGCAATCCTTCAGGGTGCATTTTTTTGGTGATTTGTTGGCTCTTTGCATAAGTTGTGTCTTATATGGGAGCAGTATGAATTTTTTTTTTTTTGGCCTTTATCTGTAAGTTTCTCTCATACTTGCAGTGGGTTATCTTGGTTTTAGTGTATAGGAACGATAAGTAGGCCTGTGCCAATATACTTGTAAGTAGAAAGTTGTAGAGAACTGTCAGGAGAAAACATCTGTCCCTGACTGACCACAGTGAAAAAAGCAGAGCATACTCCCAGTTTATGTCACAGTGTGATATACTCATCCTATTTAAATTTAGTTATCTGCCTCTGATCACATCTCCTTACATTGTTTTCATGGTCAACAGGGCAGTAACTTCAAGGTGCTGTTGATCTGACCTGTCTCAGTTTTGTGTTTTAGAACAACATCCAAACTGAAATGTGCTCCTTCTGCTCTGAATAACCATTAAATCATGCAGTGCCAAATAGATCCAATGTAAATATTTTCCTTCTGTTAGATGAATCACATTTGATCAACTGCTAGGAACTGTTGCTATTTACTGATCTGTTCCTTGGTTGGCTTTTCTTTTTTCGTTGTTCTATTGTTCCTTTTTTTTGTTTAGGTTTTAGTTTTAATTTGCTGTTTTCTTGTGTATGTATGTGTGTTTTCTTTTTTTTTTTTTTTTAATAGTAATACATAAACTTCCCTCTTACTCTTCTTGAAGGTGAACAGCAGGTGGTAGGAAGGTGAGGTGGGTGGTAAAGTGTTACAGATGCTGCTCCAAAGAGCCTGGAGCATGCATCACTGTACACATGCATGGCCATGTGAAGGCAGACAGAATCTTGCTTCCCTTTCCTCCATTCTCAGGCAACTAACTTTGCCTGTGATTAAACCTGAGCATTAGTATCCTGTGCTACTGAAAGACATGCATCCTGTAAAATAAGTCCATGCTGACTAATAATTGCTTAGATATTTCTTTTTTTTTTCTTTCTTTTTTCAGTAGAAAGAAATCATGGAGACATTTGTGATAATACTAGTTAGGGTATTATCAAAGTCTCAGAATTGTGTATACCTACTTTGAACTTATGCGTTTAGATGCAAGAGAAAGTAGCACACAGTCTTATCTGAGCATTGTTTAGAACTGCAAACCTGCGCTGATTTGTCATCATTAATCTGCCTAGCAAAGAACAGAGAATTGTGTTTTGTACTTTGGTTTGAAAATGTTCGTGATGACTATGCAATACATTCCAGCTCTGTAAGCCACTTTCAAATGCAGCTGGAACAGAATAAAGAAGTTATATGTATCCTATCAAGAATCCACCTTGTTAAAAAAGCAGCAATTTGGAGTTCATACTACTTACTGTAATGATGGTGGTATGAGCTGCAGCTTCAGCCTTGACCTGAGGTAACTGCACCATAATACTTAACAAGATGATTGCACCTGCAGGGCTATGTCTTAACTTTCCCTTTCTAAATGTAATACCTTGTTCTGCTGCATCTTCATTCACTCCATTTCATGTCACTGTACATGAAATAAGATACTTGATACAAGGAGTGTTAAAAAGCCAGGATTTAGAAACTTATGAGCATATCCCTTAAGTAACTGCAACTTGTGAAGTGCGTACACAGGTAAGAAGACTTTGCAGGACTGGAGATAATACTGGTGACAAGGAAAAACTGCTGATCTGTAGAAATAACAGTTTTAAAAGCAAGTTTTCACTTTTCAATAGCATCATAGTTTTTTTTCAAGTTCAGTTTGGGAATGAAACCACTTCTGAAGCTTGCACTATTTTCTGCTCTGCGTAGGTAAAGAAATTCATGTTGTTACCTGCGCTGATCATAGTGCCAACACAGGCTTACAGCCAACCTTCAGCAATTCCAAAGTGTCCCATTGATCTTCTCACTTCTTCTCATGCGTTTCTGGTGGTTATTCGAAGAAGTAGGAGGCAGGGGCTGGAAGTTGTAGTGCTGAAGAGGTGCGTGAGACTTTTGTTTGGTGTTGAAAGAGGAAATGTGTGCTGAGATCGTCTTTTGCTGGCAGTGCTCCTTTTCCATTTCCTTCCACTGCACTTACTCAGGTAGTGCTGTGCTAGCTGAGCAAATATTTCAGGTTGACCATGTCAAGGAGGAGGGGGATACTGAGAGTGGAGTGAGGTTTCTGACCTCCATGTTCTCCCTGCCCTTATCTTGGTGTTGGTGAGATCCCCAGCAAAAATAGCAAAAAGTTTTCTATTGGGTCTGCAGGTTCAGGCACCTTAGACAGTGGTTTAAGCATCACACTAAGGATGAGGGAAAGCAGAATGACAACATAAAGCACACAGGAGTGTATGCTTTGGATCAGGCCTTTGCAAATGTAAGCAGCAAACCAGCGAAATTCTATATTTATTAAGACAAACATACTGATTTCCTAAGGTGCAAATTTTACTTGAGTGAAGAAGAAATAGTGCAGCAAGCAGGAGCAGGGAGGTTACTGCCCCTCTGTACTCAGCACTGGTGATGACACACCTCAAATCCTGTGTTCAGTTTTGGGCCCCTCAGAACAAGAAAGATATTGAGGCCCCACAGTATGTCCAGAGAAGGGCAACAAAGCCATGAGGGGTCTGCAGCACAAACCTTACGGGGAGCAGCTGACAGAAAAGGGGTTGTTCAATCTGGAGAAGAGGAGGCTCAGGGCAGACCTTACAGCTCTCACAACTCCCTGACAAGAGGTTGATTCGTTTTCCCTTATACTGACTGAGTCACTTTTCAGTGTTCCTGGCACTGTGTTGGCTCAGGGCACCCAGGAGATTGTTGCCAGCATCTGAAGCTGAAAAGCAGTAGATGCTTGCAGAACAAAGCACAGTTCAGGATGCTGTGTCGCCTTGTATGTCACTGGTGACACCTGTGTCATCAGTGCTTACCATATTTTTAATAAGACTCAGCATCTGAAGAAAACCTGACGCTGTTAGGAGATGCAGGTGTTCATGTGAGTTTTTATTGTCAGTTTAGATACTCCAGCAGGTGCTAGACTGAAAGGACTCTTGCTGTTTACAAAAGTAATGTAATGTTAGATGTTTTCTTACTGTTTCTGTTACTTTTCAAATAACTGATAGCTGATTAGTGTAAGGACATTAGAGAGATTTTAGCTACAGAGAAGAAATACTAGCAGTAATTAAAAATTTGTGCAACTTTTGTGTTCATCTTGTCATTCTGGGCTTCACTACTGTAACTTGGATAATGTAAGCTTTGACAGCAATTATCTTTTTGTTCCTGTGGACGTATTTCACAAAATCCTACTCTGTTGACCCGTAAGGATGCTCTTATCCCTTTTGAAATCGTTTCCCCAGCCCAGAGCCCATCTTTCAGGATAACTTGACAAGCTCCCACACTTACAAGTGGATTATGCAGGGTGAGTGATTTCCTTTTTCCTATATATTGCCTGCTTTGCATACAAGATTATTTATTTTTATTTTTTAAGTAAAACTTCATATTTGTATACTGTCTGGAAAAGGGGAAGAAGACGGTTCTTGTATGCTATTATTTTTCATCCAACTTTCAGCATGAAGCTTCACAGTAAATTTAATTTCTCACACAGTTTCAGTTGTTTTCATGTGGAAGCCTGGCTTCTTGTCCTACAGGTATCTCAATGTAACGAGGCAAATCCAATGAATAAATCACAAGGTTTTTCTCTGTGGTAGAGTGGAAAGCACACAGATCTAGTGCTGAATAAGAAAGAGATTTGCTAAGAAAATTGATGATGGGATACCATTTTTATTTTCATTGTCTTTTTAAAATTTTTCTTCCAATGAGTGATGGATAGAACACATTGAAAGTCCAGAACAGAATTGTTCTCGAGAACATTTAATACAGTAAAATACATAAAGTCAATGCTGTTGTTTCATTTGGCTGTTTCTATTGTACTGTTCCTGGAAATTTTATCTAATGTCCAATACATGAACTGAAGTAAAGCAGTTTAGATAAGGTTTAGAATCCCATGAACAAAACAGTAATGTGTAAGAAAGGGTGAGGCAGAGAAATTTTGGGTTCAAGACTAAGGAATGTCATCTGGAAAATCAGTTTCCTGCATAGAAACACAGTTTCATAGATGTGTTGTATTTGCAGTAAAGTCTCTTTCCTCCTCAGATACAGGTGACTCCTTAAACTCTGTCACACACAGAAGCATACAATCATCTAGGTCAGAAATTATCTCCAAGATCATAGAATTGTAGAATGACTTAGTGCCACATCAACACGCCTCTTAAATACCTGCAGGAGTGGGGACTACATCACTTTCCTGGAAAGCCCATTTCAATGCTTGACCAACCTCTTAATGGAAAAATTCTTGAACCTAGGGAGGAATAACCATGTGCACCAGTCTGGAGGGATGACCTGCTGGACAGAAGCTCTGTGGAGAAGGACCTGGGTGTCCTGGTGGATATCAGGTTGGCCATGAGCCACTTCTTGGCCTTGGCCAAGAATTACAGTGACAGTGTGGCAGCCTGGGGTGCATTAAAAAGCGCATGGCCAGCAGGTCAAGAGAGACGACCCTTCCCCTCTACTCTGTCCTGGTCAGGCCTGGAGTACTGTGTCCAATTCTGGGTTCCCCAGTACAAAACAGGCAGGGATATCCTGGAGAGAGTCTGGTGGAGGTCCCTGACAATGATAAAGGGCGTGGAGCATCTCTCTTATGAGAAAGGGC